CACCGTAACCAAAATGTTTATGATATCTGCTTCAATACCTATTGACTTCTGAACAGCTACTCTAAAGGAGTGGAGAGAAACAATCCAAATCAGCTGGAACAACACTCGGCAGGGGAGGAACATCACCGAATCTTTCTGTACTTGTGGGCATGAACACATCGCTCAAGAAGAAAGGCGTAAGTATAGATAATGTATTGAGTATGTAAGACTAAGAGAACATGTAAAATCTGTGTCTTAGTATTCTTGATCATAACCTGATTACCGAGGGCGTCATTTGGAGCATAAACTGTGGAGACTATAAATCATGAATCATAATTGTATGCAAACTTTTATAAAATCAAGCCACTCATTTGGGGCCATGCAATAATTATAATACATTTCGGTATACATACTCACAGCCGCTCTTTGGGGCACATTCATCACTCCATACCCCGCCTCGTAGAGGACTCGGTCGTACTTGGCCACACATGGACTCTATAACCTCACATCACACATCGCTCCATACCCGGCCTCGTAGAGGACTCCGTCGTACCCGGCCACAAGAGGGGTCGGTAACCTCACTTCTCACATCAACTTACCTGTTCACACATGGGCTCGATCATACCCAGCCACATGAGGCTCGGTAGTGTATCACATTTCATCTCTTTGTACCCAACTGATCAGTGGTTACACACACACACACACACACATATATATATATATATATATATGTACACACACATATGTATGTGCGATGTAGTAGCAGTTTCAAGGGATAACAAGTTTAAACTTAGCAAGAATCCTATTTTTCGACCATAGGATACCAATTGGGAACATGATAAACTTTGAAAGGAAAGCTACCGGCAAGAATGTACAAGAATAGAACAATACCATGCCAAGAAAGAAAGTTGCCGAACATACCTTGTGGAAGAACTAACTATGCGTATGAAGGTTAACATTGCCTCTTAACGGATTTTGACAATTAACACCACCAAATGACAGATGTTACAGCGATCGATTCTTAGTTTCTTTAAGCTAAATCTTAGCAAAACCATCTTCCGGTCCAATTTAAGCTACTTTGCAACTTCAAAAGGGATGTGACAATGTTTTTGGTGAATTATAGTGAGTGATACTCTTGGAAAAATGAAAGAGAGTGAGCCTTACTGCCTTTATATACAGGTACAAACCATAGGAATCTTTGTCGGGTCCACATGCAAAATGGATCGCCCTGCTTTGGTTGTCGCGTCTGGTTAGAAGCTGGTGAAATCTAGTCGCATGCAGTTGCCTTCTCTACCCGGTAATGCATCACCATCTGATTAGCGGCCCTAAAATCCAAACTTACCAAACTTCATTGAAGTGTGGGGTGTAACATCATCCCCCTTTCAAAACATTCATCCTCGAATGTTGAATCGTGGTTCATCATGATGGTCTCATATTGTTTCCTGTTGGGTGGAATAAATGGGGGTACATGGAATTCATATCTTCTTCAGCTTCCCACGTCATTTCTTCCTTACTTTTGTTCCTCCAAAGTACTTTAAATAAAGCTACTTTTTTAGATTGCAACTTACGGATTTGATGATCTAGAATAGCCACCAGAAATTCTTCATAGAACAAATCTTCTGTGCCTTGAACATCTTCAACATGGGTGATACATGATGGATCACTTAAACACTTGCGGAACATAGACACATGAAACACCGGATGTACTGCCTCCAACTCCTGAGGAAACTCAAGCTTATAAGCCACTTGGTATGGCCCAATATACTAAGGGCTGAGTTTTCCCCTTTTGCCAAATCTCATTACACCTTTCACTGGTGATACCTTTAGGAATAACCATTCTCCAATCGCGAACTCCGAGTCTCACCATCGGTTATCTAAGAAAGATTTTTTCCTGCTCTGAGCAGTCAACAATCGATTCCGAATTATTTTCACTTTCCACGACCTGTTGTACTAAATCAGGACCCAAATAACTTCGTTTCACCGACTTTGAACCAACTAATAGGAGATCAGTACTTTCGTCCATATAGCACCTCATATGGTGTCATTTGAGTACTAGCATGATAGCTATTGGTGTAGGCAAATTCTATGAGTGGTTGATGATCCTCCCAATTATAGTTGAAGTCCAAAACACAAGCTCGTAGCATGTCCTCGAGCATCTAATAATGCACTCGGCCTGACCTTCTATTTGGAAATAAAAGGATGTGCTGAGGTTGATCCTTGTGCCCAACCCTTTTTGGAATGACCTTTAGAAGTTTACCGTGAACTGGGCACCTCTATCCAATATAATGAAAATCGGAATCCCGTGAAGTCCGACTATTTCCTCTATATACAACTTAGCGTAATCTTCAGCCGAGAAAGTAGTCTTTATCGGTAGGAAATAAGTTGATTTGGTGAGTCGGTCCATGATGACCCATATGGAATAAAATCTTTGGCGAGATCGTGATAGTCTGGTAATGAAATCCATATTGATTACTTCCTATTTCCAGGTTGGAATTTCCATGTTTTGCAACAACCCTCCCGATTTCTGATGTTCAACCTTAACTTGTTGGTAATTTGGACACCGAGCGACGTATCTCGTAATGTCCCTCTTCATGCCATTCCACCAGTATAGCTATCGAAGGTCGTGTACATCTTGGTCGTCCCCGGGTGAACATAGTACCGGGATTGATGAACCTCTGCCATGATCTGCTCTTGGAGTCCCCCGACATCAGGTACACATAATCGGTCCTTGTATCTAAGGACCCCATCCTCGGATAACCCAAACACTTGCTTCTTTTGAAAGGGGATGCTTTCTCTTATCTTCACCAAGGATTGGTCGTCAAATTGCCATGATTTTACTTCAGCTATTAACGAGGACTCGACAGTATTCTAAACTGTGGGTCCTCCGCCATCGGTATTAAGCAATCGTACACTTAGATTTGCCAACCGGTACAAGTCTTTAGTCATCTTCAACTTCTACTCCTCCATGTGGCGCAGACCGCCCATAGCCTACCGACTTAATGCATCAGCCATAATGTTTGCCTTCCCAGGGTGGTACAAAATGTCAACATTATTTAACAATTTGATCCACCTTCGTTGCCTTAAGTTCAATTCTTTTTGCTTGAATATGTTCAACAAGCTCTTGTATCTGGTGAATATGTTAATATGAACTCCATACAGATAGTGACGACATATTTTTAGAGTGAAAATGACCGCTGCTAGCTCCATATCATGGGTCGGATAATTTTGCTCCTGGTTCCTCAACTGCCTTGAAGCATATACAATCACCTTCCCGTGCTGCATTAGTATGCTGCCTAAGCCCACTCCGGAGGCATCACAATATATGACGTACCCCTCGGGTCCTTCAGGAAGAGTCAACATTGGTGTCGTGGTTAACTTGTCCTTCAACTCTTGGAAGCTCTTCTCATAACCATCGGTCCATTGAAACTTAGCTGCATTGTGCATCAACTTCGTCAAGGGAGCAAATATTGACGAGAAACTCTCCACGAACCTTCGATAGTAACCGTCTAAGCCCAAGAAGTTGCGTACCTCAGTAGGAGTTGTAGGTCTTGGCCAATTCTTGAATGCCTCAACCTTTGACTATCAATATTGATACCTTCACCGGATACTATTTGCCCAAGGAAGGCCACTGAGTCCAACTAGAACTAGCACTTGTAAAACTTGGCATATAACTTGTGATCCCGGAGTGTGCATAGAAAATTAGCAAATTCTCTGCGTGCTCTGCCTTCGTTCAAGAGTACATTAAAATATCATCAATGAATATGCTCATAAAGATATCCAAGAAAGGCCTGAACACTCGATTCATTAGATCCATGAAGGTTGTTGGTGCATTGGTTAGGCCAAAGGACATAGCAAGAAACTTGTAGTGGCCATATCTAGTTAGAAAGGTTGTCTTCAGGACGTCTTCTTTTTTGATCCTTAGCTGATGATACCTAGTGTAAGCACGTGATTTTTGCCCTATGAAAGAATTACTCCCAAAAAATTCAAAATAAAACGATTTTCCTTGGTGTGCAATTTTGAGAATTTTTGTGACATTTTTGGATAATCATTTGTATTTGTCTGTGCATGTTTATTTGTTAAATTAATAAAAAATACAAAAATATGTCGCATTTGCATTTAGGATTTAATCCTACAATTGTTAGTAATTAAGTTTGTTTTACAAAAATGAAAATTACAAAAAAATGTGCATCGTTTGTATTTTTAGCATTTAATGTCCAATTGTACAATTTTATGCTTAATTATTACTTAATTATGTGTTAATTGTTATTGGGAATTAATTTGCGATTTTATAAATTAATTTAGTTCTATATAATAATTTAAGGATTTTTAGAATTTAGTTTTAGAAAAATAAAAGAAGAAAAGAGAACAAAATATATAAAGAAAATCGGAATTGGGCTCTTCTTCAAATTCAAGCCACAGGCCCAAAAAATATCCAACCATCCCTACGACCCGGTCCATTTCAAATCGGGTCGACCCAGTCCATAACCCAAATACCCAACACCCCTATCTTCCTACCTTACACTTCACAAAACAAAACAAAAAAAAGAAAAAAAATCCAAAACCCTAACACTAAACCATCCGCCCCTTTTTTCTCTTATCTCCTTCAAGACCCACCCCCTCAGATCATCTTCTTCTTTAATACAACACAAAACCCTAGACCCCTAAGCCGCCGGCCAGCCTCTGGACCACCACCAAACGACCACCCCTGTGACCTAGCGCTGTTGTTCACCTCCAAACGACCACACACAGACAAAGTCATCGTTGGACTGAGAATTGGTGAAAACCATGGCCATCGTTGCTCATGCTTCTTCCCGTTAGCCAAAACTATTCAAAACCTTGAACATCAGCTGCTGCTCTCTTCATCTTCCTCGTCGAGCAGCTGGTTCGAAACTAAACCCCATCGCCACTGCTTCGTCTTCGACCACCAACAGCACAAGAACCCATCGTCGTCGAGCTTGAGCTCGACATCCATGGCTGCTGCTTCATCTTCTTCGTCAAGCTCGAGCTTGAGCTCGACACCCATGGCTGCCGCTGCTTCAAGACTGCTGCCTCGTCTTCACACGTCGTCGACCAAGCAGACCACGCTTCTGCTTCTGCTTTCTGCCACCTTCTGCTACGTCCAAGCAGACCACGTTTCTGCTTTCGCTTCATCTTCTTCGTCTCCGTCAAACTCCAGCCATGAGCGAGCAAGCATCGACAACTCGGAGCTGCCTTTCTGTATTCTTTGTCGAGAATAGGGTGCTGATGCCGCTTATACTCCTATGAAACTTATCACCTGCAAGGAGGACCATCCACTTTTTGTTCAAATTCTGTGCAAACAATCCAGACAGTTTGCTGGAAGCAGCTCTAAAAATCGAGCCTTATTGTGACTGTGTGGACATCAACTTTGGGTGTCCCCAGCAAATTGCAAAACGTAGGAATTATGGAGCTTTCCTCATGGATGGCAGTCCAGTCAGTTTTCAAACAAGCTTCACCAAGTGGATATAGAGACATAGTTTCGCCATCACGTGACCTCACCATCTCGTTTGTTCGAGCTTTGGTCGGGGTTTGTCGAAACAGTCCATACACAGTTCGAGTTCGTCGTTGGTCAGTCGTTGTTCGTGGTTCCGATCCGGTTAGTGGGTTTGAGTTTCACTTTTGTCCGTATTTTGTTTTTGATATTCTCGAATCTAAAATTGGTAAATGGTTGATTTTTGTTTTGTTCGTGTTCATTGTTTTGTTAATTTTTCAGTTTGTTCATGTGAAATTGTTAGTTTAATGTCGTTAGATTCAAATTGAAATTTAATTAATTATTTCTTCAGTTTGTTTCATGTGTTGTTATGTATTTTTTTTTCAGAAATTGTTAATGTTGGTTAAATCATTTGAATCCGTCATGTTTGTTGTTTAAAATAGATTTAATTCATGTTCATCTTTGTTTGAAGTTCGTTTGTAACCCCAGTGATTTAATGTGAGTTTAGGTTTTGGTTTTTGACTTGTTGATTTAGTTTGAATCATGTATTTTGTTGTTGATATTGTTGTCTCTTTGCTCATTTATTTTTTGTCTAAGTTAACCAGGATTGGTTCCCAATATGGTTAGCTTATTCCCATTAATTTGAAGCTGTATGATTCAATCTGTGTTCATGAGATTTGTTGTTGAAATTGTTTAGAAATTGGTCATATTTGCTGTATTTTGGTTGAGATCGATTAGGTGAATTGGTTATAGCTGATGGGGTAGTTTGGTAAATTGCAGTACGTTCAGGGGTAAATTGGTAATTTCAGTAAGGTCGGAGGGGTATTTTCGGAATTGAACATTTGAACAATTATTTAATATAATGGGGGACAAGACATAAATTAGTGAGGATGTGATATAATTGTTTAATATAATGGGGGACAAAATATAATGTAGTAGGGTGGGAATAATGTAATTGTTTATGTTAAGCATGGGGGACAAAGTATAATGAGGGGATATTTATTTAATGCATGGGGGACAAGACATGTGGGCACGGGGGACAAGGTTTAAAAGAAAGAAAATATTAAGTAGTGGGGACAAAGCATGCAATTGGGGGAATATTTCGGGTTAGTGGTTCAAGACAAGAGTCTTGCTATAAATAAGAGTCATTCTTGACATAGGAAGAGGGGGATATTATTAGGAGAATAGAAAAAGACTTGAACTTGAAAGACTTACTTAGGGAGAGAGGAAGACATTCTGAAAATCCTAAGAGAGTGTTGGGGAGTTTAAAAGAGAAAACAAAAACAAAGTGAGAAACGTGTTTAGTTTTCAAGTTTAATACACGCGTGGGTTGTTGTTGTTTAGTTTGTTTACAAACTTTTGGGTTTGTTCTATTGAGTTGTTCGGTTTTTCTTCAAAGTTTTCTGGACCTTGAATCTGGTTCGAATTGCTGCTGTTGGGTTACTGTTGTTGTTGTGTATTTACACTACTGCTGCTTCTACTGATCTTCATCTTCTTTCCTTGCTTTCCAAATACCAGGTACACAAACTGATACACTAGTTCATCTTGTAAGCCACTCGAAGCATGTATGCAAAAATGAGAAAGATTTGAAGTTGTAATTTAATGTAGTCTTTTCTTTCTTTTTCTGTCTGTATGTAGAATATTCTATGTGTTGCCCATGTAAACTCTTTAAACAACTCACTTTCGAAACTTAACTATAATAACTCGAAAGTATGTAAATAAAAGTAGGACATTTTCTTCATTTATTTTAGAGAAAACAAAAATAGAAAATGTAGTCATTCTAAGATTATCCTTTGAAAAAATAATGAGACGAGCCTCGCCCAATAAAAAAAATACAAATTGCGGGGCCCTCAATAATTGGTCATAATAAATACTTAGAATTTGGGATGGACTGTTTAGTGAATTTCACTGCCTTCCCCAAAGATAATAACGCGTTAGCCTCTTTAGACGCGATTTAATTAAATTACTTTCTTAAACTCGGGTGCACATTTATGTGACCCAAATCCAAATCTCAGCGGAGTCGAAATGTGTCTCTAATCACGGGTACATTGATTGTGACGTGGTTCGAGATGTGTTTCCACGATGTTGCAATTCTTGATAAAAATAATAATAAATGACAAAAGCTGTTAAAAGTTAAAAGTTCGTTTAAAATTCGCACATAGGTTCAATATGTATTAAATCAGATAATCAAGCCGAATATGACAGTT